TGTGTGTGTGTGTGTGTGTGTGTGTGTGTGTGTGTGTGTGTGTGTGTGTGTGTGTGTGTGTGTGTGTGTGTGTGTGTGTGTGTGTGTGTGTGTGTGTGTGTGTGTGTGTGTGTGTGTGTGTGTGTGTGTGTGTGTGTGTGTGTGTGTGTGTGTGTGTGTGTGTGTGTGTGTGTGTGTGATTAATTCTCTTAATTAAATTCAAAAGCCATTTGGGACGTAGATTTTAGTACAAACTTCGTCAATTTTAAAATAAATCGATTCAGTGTATAAGAAAAAATTAGCACATAAGTCTAGAAGTGTCTGAGATAATAATTATTTTTTTTTGTTAATTAACAATTGGTACATAAGGCCACCATAGTGATTATTTTTGTGTACTATAATTATATGCTAATGATTAACATTTAATTATCGGTATAATTCGAAACAAACTGTCCACGTTTTTTTAGCCATTCATCCTTTCTTTACTTTTATTATTAAATACTGTCAATTTTATATTAAATAGACAGTTTATTTTTATTAGTTTCATTTTATCTTAACTTAACTTAATAGTCAGTTAAGTTTAATTAAGTTTTAACGAACGCCACGATCCACAACAGTGAGGCACTTATTCGGACCAAATAGAAATTGACACTTCTAGACTTACCTGAGGCTATGGATTGAATCACAGACTAAACTGAGAATTCAAATCAATGTCTAAGGTTTTTTAAATTACATATTTAATTTTAATTTATAAATATTTTATGACCTAGTAGAACATTGATTAATTCTCACTCAACCTCACATAGATATTTACAGCCCAAATTTTTATAATTAGGACCTTAGAGTGCTAATGTAATTGCAATTTGACATTTAGAATATGAGATTTATCCGTCGTAATTAATTTCTTCTTCTTAATCCTCTTGGTCTTGATTTTGGTCATGATCTTGATTTCGATCTTGATCTTCTTTCAGATAATTATTTATCATCTTAAGATGCTTGGTTCCATTTACTCCACTGTGTGTTCCACTGATGTTCCTCAGCAATTTGTTCTAAATTATTTTATTTGTCTTCTGTTGTGTATATAAATAGCGCATATAATAAGATTCAAAAATTAATCTGCATTTATTTAATTGCAATTGTGTAAATGCAAATTAATCTGGCAGTTATGAGTCATCATCGTAAATAAAAAAGAATCTTTTCGTCATTCAGTCATTAATTATTTCTTTAGCTTTTCTATACGTGATGTGTCTTAGCTCTAGCTTAAGGCGTGATACGTTATTTATCTTCCTTATTTATATTTCTTATTTATATATATATAAATCTGTATCTATATATATAATATTTATTCATTTATAAGTTTATTTGATATTATCACGAATTTTTAACCGGTTTTCGGCGTTGTTTTACTCGTGTTGCTGGTGGTGTTCCTCCTTGTACCGCAGGATATAAAACCAAACTTACCTCGTCTATCGAGGTAGTTGCTGCTTTACGTATATCTATGTGTTTTGTGTTTATTACTTCTGACTCAAGGACCCACTCGTCTGGCGCACTAAAAAAATAATTTACAAATTATTATTTATAATAAATAATTATAATCATTTATTTACCCGTAAAAAAAAAGAATTATCTTTGTAACAAATTGTCATGATTAAATTTTCATAAAAATCAACTTCTACTTGATTTAAAATAAAAATTATTCAGCAATTATAATTAATAGTTCACAAAAGTATGAAAAATAAAAATACTTTTTTAATTAGTCATTATCTATATTATTAAGAAAATAAGCAAAATTTTGTGGCCTGTGTATTTAGATGATAAAATGAATTTTTATGATTAACTTTGGTATTGTTGGAAAAGTCTTGAGCTGTAGTTGTGCCTTTCCATGGTTTCATATCATTCTCACCGACAGTCAATTTATAATGATAAGTATTTAGACTGCATTCGAAAATGCTCTATCTCTAGATACATAATTAAGAAATGACCTTGTATCTCGTGAACTATTGATATTTTTTGGATTTTGATATATTTTTCATATATATATATATAATATATATAAATATATGAAAAATTGATATGGGTACTCAAATGAAAGGTCTCGATGAGTGTAACGTCGGGATGAGCTTATATCTTTAAAAATGTCAATAGTTAAGAAAGTACAGGGCATTTTAACAAATATCTCGTGAACTATTGACTTTTTTAAAGATATAAGCTCATCCCAATGTTACACTCATCAAGACCTTTCATTTAAGTACCCACATCAATTTTTCATATATTTATATGTATTATATATATATATGTATATAGGAAAAATATATCAAAATGCATGTGGGTACTCAAATGAAAGCTCTTGATGAGTGTAACATCGGGATGAGCTTATATCTTTAAAAACGTCTATAGTTAAAAAAGTACAGTGCAATTTAACTAAAATCATTATTTAATAAAGCAAAATTTTATTTATTTATAGTTCACAAGTCACGGCAGTCACATAGTGACTGCAAGGTTGCTAGTTGATTATTATGAAAATAAATTTCACCTTGATAGATCAAATTTTTTTTTTATACGGATAAAATTGTTTACAATTTCAAAGTTATTAAAAAAATAATAAACTCACATGTCCTGAGGATGCCAACGTAACAGCACTCTTGTTTTTCCGTCCGTTTCAACTCTCTTAGCTAAGACCTTTAATGTTTAATTTAATAAATTAATAGTTATATCAGTTACAAGGCTTAGATAATAATAACAATAATAGTAACAGTAATTAATATAATTTTAACGTACTTGACTAGTTAGGGCCATTGAGTTTCCAGGTGTGCTTGCCAGTTGACCTTGAGTTCTCGACTTGGCTAATTCTAATAATCTATGTTGAAGGCCCTCCATCACTCCGTTGTCGAAGTAATCAAATAACCTCGCTGTAATAAATAAATATATATTGAATATTAATTGTTATCGATAGGTAGTATGATCAGAGGCTATTCCAAAACATTGCAAGTATTTTTATGGAATTAAAAAAAGTCTAAAAAATTGAGATATTTTTAATATTTTTGGAAGAATATTAATTTAAAATTTTCTCGCTTGATTGAAAATTTTAATAAAATAAAAATAAAAATTTTATATGGAATGGGAAGCTTAAAAAGTTTGTTGTATAGTTATGCGATGGAAACTCCAGTACATTATCCTCTGTCAAAAACGGTAAACGAGCATGCGTCTGAAGTATAATTATTTTATGTCTCAATTGGTGCTATTAAAGTGACGTAAAAAATTCCATTGATATTTCAGTGATATTTAGAGTTTTAAATTTTATTATTTCGTCATTTTTTATAATATATTATATCATATAGATATATCATCAATTTTATAAAAAAATTAAACTAAACTATAATCAATTATTTAGATGAAAATTAGAATTTTTGCCGATTACATTAAGGAGGGACGATGTCAGGAATGACTATTTGCATTTACCAAGAAGTAATTCTGCTATATATGAAAATTCTTTTCTAATTCATGGTATAAAAATTTGGAATTAATTACCGGCAGATATTACAGAAATTGAAAATTTTAAACAAGCTTGTTTTAATTTCTTCTTCCAATCAATATAATTACCATTGATCTTATAATTTAACATGTTAGTTATTAATTAATGTCGGTCTTTAAAATTGTATTGCTAACACTGTATCAAATGTTTACTTGTAAACAATTAATTTTATGTATTGTTGATGGTCCTGGAGGAGCTTAGAACTCCAGGATCAAATAAAATTTATTATCTATCTATCTATAGCATAATATTTTTTAATTATTAAATCTAAATAATATTTCAATATTCAGTTGATTTATTATTTAAAAAAAAAAAAAACTTGAAATAATTTTTTTTTGACACTTGAACATTTAAAAAATTTATACTCAAAATGACTGATAATTTACCTGACCATGGCTGCCTCCTGTATCTCAACTTCTTTCCATTCCTCCGAACTAATTTACCACCGTTTTCACAACTTCGTCTGCTGCTACTGCTACTCGTTTCAGGCTGATTGAAATGATTATTTACGTGTCTTTCTAAAGCAATCTGTAATAAAAAGCAAAAAATTAAATGAGATATGGTGAAGATAGCATTTTCCAGGAGAGCCTTGTCCCAGCTAATTTGCTACTAGCTTTTTAATTTTTTTTTTATTCAATATTTAATATAATAATATAATTTATAGAAAAATAAATTTTTTAAAAAATTTCATCGATTATTTGTGAGGCAAAAAATCCATTTCTGTAAAGTAAAAAACAATGGATTTGGCTGTCGTAGAAAATGCCTAGCATAAAATAATGCCTAAGACGACTAGATAATTTCGACACAGTAAAGTATCACGAATCAACTCTAAGTTTGCAACATTAATCAATTTCTTATTTGATATTTGGATAAACAGTATTTGAAGAATACATTCTATTCCACAAACGTAAACGAAGACAAACTGAACGTTGATCGTCTCAATAAAATTTAAAATCAAGTCGATCATTTCAAAGGTTTGACACTGATTTCAATCAGTGAATTTTACTCAGTAATTATTGAGTAACTATTTTTATAAAACATAAAAAAAAAAAAGAAATAAACGTCTCGTAGAGTGAATGAAATGTAGGTTGCGATCGATATAAAAAAAATTCAGCTTCGTGTATCCAACGAAGTGAAACTTACGAAAAACCATCACTTGTAATTAACATCCTAACAATAGAACAAGAAAACAATTTTATTATTGAAATGAAAATCAAAATTACGTACACTGGTGTGTAATTTAAATTTGAAAATATTTTCCAAGCGAATGAGAGCACAATTCACAAAACTGTGCAGTAATTCAACTTTATTGAGTTATTGTTTAGAATTAAAAGTAAAAGTCAAATAGTTATTAAAATGCGAGAGCCTCAGAATAAAAAGAAACAATTCAATTATTTGAACAAGTCGAAGAAAATGATAAGAGTTAAGACAAAAATCGAAAATATATTTGAAGAAATTCTATTGATGACATCGGATTTATTCGAACGGTTGACGCAAGATGATATTTTTTTTTGCCTCAGACTTCAGTTATTGGATTTCTGTCAGTAAGGAACGGAACGGCTGTACATCAGTAGTCATTACTAGGTAATCTTTGGAGTAATAAACAGTTTAATCAACATATCAATGAATTTTAATTTTACGGGAGAAGAGTCATATGCCGCGATACAGTAATTACGGATAGTTTTTTATTTATATCTTTGTATTCGTTATGTTACCCTGGAGATTCTTTTTTATCAGTGTAGTTGTATAGTTGTGGTTTAGTTATTTATATTCATTTTTAATTTTTATTGATTTTTAAAGAAGATAAATTATTCATAATGAGATTATTATCTGTCATTAGTTATTTCACCAATAAAACATTTATTGTTCATTTAAAAACCTATTTTATGATCTGCTTATATATAATTAATAAACAGGTAATTGTTTTTTAAATTTATGAGTAAATGAATATAAATTAACTTATTTAAAATATAATTATTAGCATAGTTTTTTTTTAACAAGATTGCTACATAAATTTATTAACAAGAAATTCCGTCTTCTGGTTCTTTCGGTAGCAAAAAAATTTTAACATATTTTCTTATGTTACTAATAACAATAACTGATTGTGATTGGTTAATAAATTTTTAGAAATCAAGGGAGTAAGACTATGGCAAATAATAATGAGAATTGATTACAAAATCATAATTCATATTTACCAAAATTAAAAAAAATATCTTGCAGAATTTTGAGAACTTGAAATTTAAACTGACTTGAAATTTACGTTAAAAAAATTCGGATGATTTTATAAAAATTATTTAGTGTAATAGATTTTTTCGACAAAAAGCTAGACTAAGTTTTACATGACATTAAATGGATAGATTCACTATTAGTATAGTTGGATTAGCGAGTCTTTGCGCTTCGGGTATTTTCGGTTTTTGCTCCCATCATTTAATTTTTATAGCTAATACATGTGTATCGATAGCAAAAACAAATTAAATGTATCCTTATGCTAATCATACGCACTAAATATTTTTTAATCACATATTTGAGATGGTAGGGGCAAAAACAAAAAATACCCGAAGTGTAAAGACTCGCTAATCCAATTATACCATTCCCTATTTTCCTATTTTAGTATTAGTCTTCTCAAAACTATTTATTAAGCCTAATTAATTTTTTTTTAATCATCAGAAATGTTTATTAGCATAAGTATAAAATTAACAGAAAGCAAAAATTTTTTTTTTTTTTTAATAAATTTAATTGAAATCTGAACTATTAGATCGATTGCCCAAAAAGAATTTTGAGAATATTTCTTCACAATAATTTTTCTAAAATATGTATAAATATTTTATTAATTAAAGAAAGTTTTATTGATTAATTCCGATAAAACTTGTCTTTTGTCGGATAATAACCTTAGAAACTTTGAAGGAATTTCCGGTTTCATAAACGGCAACCCTGCTTTAACCAACTTAATAAAACTGAATCTCATTAACTTTTGAGTAAACGAAAAAAAGGCCATGTCAATATACCTGTGAGCTAAATCTGTTGCCACATCCGTCGACGATGCACCTAAACGGTTTATTGCCACCATGAGAAAGAACATGCCTCTCTAACCATCTTCTTGAACAGGAAGTTCTACCTTGAACTTTACAACCTTGCCAATTGCATACAAAATTATCTCCGCCAGTTTGTGTGTTGATATGCGCCGTCTGCAATTATAATCCATTACAAAATGTATTTAATAACATTATTCAATATTTATCATCATCATATATTTTATCTCAATTATCTATGACATTAAAATTAGCTGTCTTTTTACAATTTTTCAATTTTATTCAACAAAAAAATTATTTTTTAAAAATTGCATATTTAATTTTTTTAAATTTCTGCATGTCAATTTTTTTTTGCCATAATTTATTTATTGTAAAATTCTTAAAATTATGAAATAAATGCTAAATTAATTTTCATCAATTATCTAATCTTTTTTTCAGATCATTATTGATCAATCACAAAAAATTTTGAATGAAATTATGACATTTAAGTTAGCTGTCACTTTAAAATTTTTCAATTTTATTTAACAAGAAAATTTATTCCAAAAAATTATTTTAAAAAAATTGTATTTTTAATTTTTTTAAATTTCTACATGTCAATTTTTTTATGAAAATCAAGTTAGCCGACATTTAAAAATTTTTAGAATTTTTTTTTATTGAAGAAATTATTACAAAAAAATTTTTAAAAAATGTTACTTGTAAAAAACTTAAAAAACTGTAAGTGAAATTTTTCAAAAATATTTTTTTGTTTTAATTTAATTATTAAAAAAAAAAATCAAATAATTAAAAACGCCGGCTAACTTTTATCTAATATTTTGTTCCTAATTTTTTTTTGCCATAATTTATTTGTTATAAAATTCTTAAAATTATTGAATATATATGTTAAATTAATTTTTATATGAAATTACCTGTAAATGTTCGAGTAGAGCGCCGCTGCATTCAAAGTTAGCTTCACACTTGTCCCATCGACAAATTCCGCTATCAGCTGCTCGTGCGCCATTTTTAGTCGGCGCTCTGGCTGGAAATCTTATGGTAGTCGGCTCACAAAGAATGGGTGAACTAGATGGCTTTGATTCGCTGCTTCTCGATGAATCTTCCTCTTCCTCTTCTTCTTCTTCATCGTCTTCTTTAACAGACCTCACTATCGTCGGTTGGATTTTACTCTCAAAAATTTCTAATAAACTCGGCTGCGTTGATCGTAAAAAACTTCTTTCTTGATGATGATTATTATTGTTATTAATTGCATCACTATTATTATTGTTATTGTTATTAATATTAGCAGTATCATTATTATTATTACTAATACTAACAATATTAGTGTTGATGATGTTACTTATGCCGTTGGTGGTACTATTATTGTTATTGATATTATTATTGCTGCTACTGTTAATAATAATATTATTATTAAGAGATCTCGTAACAGTTTGATTACAATTATTATTGTTAACGGTGGTACAGGTTCCCGTAGAGTTTTTATTATCATTAACTATTGGTTTAATTATTTTATTATCAAAGCCGACGTTTAGTGGTTCACTGGCTTCTAAAGTGGGTGTAGGTGTCGATGGAGGTGATTCACCACTAGGTTTAGGACTTGCTTCACCAGTCAGTCTTAGCGATGAGATCTTACAGCCAGGAATACTCGACAACACATCGCTTGATATCGGCAATCCGGGTAATGTTTTGTTGACAAACAATTTGTCTAATTTCATTACACTGACTCGGGGTGTTACTGATGATAATTTTTTATTACCCGGTAATTGCGAGGATGGAATTCCCATTGATTTAACATCCCAGTCATTAGCAACAGATCTACTGTTTGGTGTAACCACACCCAGGTACTTTGCTAATCCTCCTTTATTACGTTGAACCGTGAGTGGCCTACGGAATTCCGGGGAATTTTTTGCTACCATTACTGACATGTCTGCTGAATTTTTCTTTGTCTGAAAATCAAAAATTTTATTATTTAATAAATTTATAATTTAAACATACAAATTAAAATTTTTCTGTTTAGAAAAATTGTTCATTAAAAACTTCTAAATTATTTTTATATTTTAAAATAATTTTCTGTTGCAAATCCATTCAGAAAAAAAATTAAAATTTACCTAACAAATAAGCTAGTACTAAGAAATTATTAAAAAAAAAATTTGTAATAATAGTTTTTAACAATTTCTCCATAGAGTAGAAGTACCGTTTGTGGCCACTGTGCCGTTTATGGCCATTTATTATTCAAATAAATGTATATTAATAAATCATTACAAACTCAATTTGTTGCAATGTAAATTTTTTAAAACTCAGCAAAAATATGGTTATACTATTATAATTTTTTATAAATTAATTCAAATGTTGACTGGGCAAAAACGGTACTTCTACCTTAATACTTGAAATTTTTTATAATTTATCGATTAGATGAATCTCAAAAGTGATCAAATTTTAATCAATTTCAATAATGAAGCATAGAAAGAGTTTGTTTTAATATTAATATAAAGACTTAGATTTTAATATAGAGAATTGAAATTAAAATTTATGAACCACGTATACATTTTTAATATGGCAAACACAATAAATAGAATTTTTTATTTATATTTCCAAAAATTTGTTTTCAAATAGCTTGCTGTGACTTGATAGGAATTATACATTCTATTAAAATGATACTACCATCAAGTTATCTGCTGGTGATTTCAAACAATAATCGAAAATTCGACAAAAGTGTAATTTTAACTAACAAAAAACAAATTATCTTGCGCCAAGAAAATTTTAAGAAAAACGAAAGTTATTTTGGAGCAAGAAAAAATTTTTTGGCTCAAGAAACTTTGACTTCATTCAAGAAATTTTCAACCTTCCTTAATATTTTTTTGAGCCAAGAAAATTTATACTCCAGTCAAAAATTTTATTTTTCAATGTACAGGGTAAAAGACCCCATTACTGACACTTTCTTTGATTTTGGTACCTATTCAATTAATGAAATCATTAATTTCAATAATGAATATATTATTTCTAATCTTTAAGACCTTTAGATCAAAAAAATTTTTAATTTTTATTTCAAGTAGAACATTTAATCATTGAAATAAAAAGTGCCACTAATGAGGTCTTTTACCTTATATAATTGTTCAATAAATAGATATTTAAAAAAAATAGACCATGACATTAATAACTGAATAAAAGAATGTTAATTTGTAATTTTTAAAAGGGTGCTTTGAATTGATGATATGAAAATTAAAAAAATTCAGAGTTTTAGGGCCTATAACCTGTTGAAAAAATTAACAAGTGATTAAAAACGTTAATTATTTAGTGAAAATCTTAATTTATCGATTTAGGAGTCTTTTTAAAAATGATATCAACATTTTTTTAGAAATCCATTTATCAATTTATAAGAATAAAAAGAAATATTAACCTTTGACTGTTGGGGTTTAATTTGAGTCTTGAAGTACTCGGTTATTTTTCCCTGTAGTTCGTGTTGTTGGTGATGATTATGTTGAAGTTTATTAGATGTCTTGGTACTACGAACCGTGGGGTCAGCGGCAGTTACTTTTGGCAGTGTTCCTATTTCAGGTTCGCTATTAAGTCGTTTGTAGGTCGAACAGGCAGTATCTGCTAGCGGCGGGGTCCAGGGCCACTGGGGCCTGGTCCCATTTAGAAGGGGTGATGTCTGTGGTGCCAGTTTGGGTATTGATGGCAATGGACTTGGTGCTTTACCGTGAATTGCGACGCCCTCATCGCTACTTGTGCTGCATGGTGACCCTGGTTCTGTAATGTCACTTGTTCCGCTACTACTGCAGTCTCCACAAGATACTGCGACTCCACTGAAAACATAATTATAATAATGTGTTATTGTCATTTATTATCTTGTCTGGTTGATTACCAATTAGTTAATAAATATTCTTAAAGGTATTCCTAATTGTATAATATTATTTGAGAAATTTTAAATCAGCTCAATCTCCAATCTCGGAGCCGAGGCAGATTAATGTAATTTAGGGCTGCCTGCAGCAGGAATCCTAAATGGACGATACCAAGGAAAATTGCATGTGTACTCGATAATTATATTACCGATAACGCAAACATAATTATATTACCAAACATTGCCAATCAGTCCAGTGAATTTTCTACCTGCTTATAAACATTTAATTTTCAATATTTTTTTGGTCATTATTAATACATAATTTTTTCATTTTAAAAAAGGTTCACTTCTGATTGAAAAATTCATTTTTAAAAGATGAAAATAAATTAACATGACATTAAAGACTCTACTTTTTATATTAATTTTGATAAGAAATAGATTTTCTCGAAGAATTGAGCGCTATTTTAATGAAGTTCATGAAATAAATTTATATACTGATAACTTCAAGATATCAGAGTTCTAGATTGATTAGGAAAGTTCTAAATTACTTAAGATTTATGAAGAATTCGAAAAACTTGAATAATTATATCGACGGTTTAATGTCTAATTAACAATTTGTCTAACTCCTTATTTTTTAGAGGGTGATTTTTTAACATTTTGATGTAGCAATAATCCAATTATAAATTATTTGAATGATTCAAATCTAAATATCATATCTCTATTACGGCTGCCCAATTTTAAAACACAGTAACTGACAATTTTAAGACTTTTAAAAAATTTTCTTATTAACAAAAAGTTTTCGCGCCAAATTGATTAAAAATTTGATTTATGAATAGAAAATACTTGAATATAAATATTTTTAAGAAAAAATGCTTGAAATTAAGGTCTAAAAGTTATAAGAAATGCAGTGATACTAAAAAAAAAATCAGGTATAAAAATTTTGCAGTTACTGTGTTTTAAAATTGGGCAGCCGATTAGATATTAATGATATTAAATGGTTTTTTAAAATGATAATAAATTTTGAACTAATTTTTTTTTTTCGTACAAATAGAAGATTCTCTAAAATGGAGTTAAACAATTTGCTAATTAGAACGTCGATATTCCAAAAAATATAAAGAATTTTGAAAATTTATGGTAGTTAATATAAGAAAAAAATAAGTTAATATTTAAAACATAGCAAGTAAAAAAATTAAAATTATAACTTTTAACCCATAAATTAAAGTAGATCTTAATTTTTTAAAACTATAATGTTTTTTCAGATTGTGCATGAAATACAAATTTAAAAAAAATTCAAAGATGTTAATTTTTCAATTTTAAGTGAATACATTTATGAAAATGATTCCCAGAATATCGGAATTTTTTAAATTATAAAGTCAATTTTAATTAAAAAATTGAAAATTCAGTCAAAATTCTTTTTAATTAGCTTGTCGAAGAATGAAACAAAGAAAAAAATATGAAATGTCAAAATTTTTATTATTTATAGCCAATACTAAGCAGACCACTTTTGAATAATCATCTTAGAGAAGTCACAACAATTTTGAAATAAATATGAATCAACAATTCCGTTTTTTCATATCTACAGTTTTTTCTGACTCTTCATTAGTTTTTTATTGTTATTGATCAAAAAAAGTTACCGTCGCGTAAAAGGCAGTAGTTATAAAGTACAGAATGAACTTTTACGGCAAAAAATGTACTACCGTAAATAGAAACCAAAGAGCGTAAAAAATATTACGATGTGAAAAAACATGATAAACCTTTTTCGAAATGGACGATTAAAATAAAAGATACATTTAAAAGATAGATCATTTTATTTGAAAATAGAAGTTAAAAAAATGGTTGCTAGTTTCGTTGTAATATAATGATAATGATCAATTAATATGTAATAGTAGGCGGTTTATGGTGCGAATATAGTGTGGAAAGTAATACGGTGTACATAAAAGGCGGCGTGGGTGGAAAGTGAAGGGAAAGAGAGTAAATTACAGAAAACGCAACGTGTATATTTATAACGTATGTTGAAGCGAAGAAATATAATAGAAGGGTAAGAGACAAAGGCTAAGGACTTGTTTGCGGGAAAGACGAAAAGGGGCTTTGTAACATCTCTGTGAATACGAATACGAATACGAATACAAATAAGAATAAGAAGCTGGAGCTGAGGGTGCAGTGAGAATCTTGTATAGTAGTGTTTTGTGTGTTAAAGGTCAAGACACATATAAATAATAGTGATGTAAGTTCTCGTGTAATATTCAGGCCAGTTATACTGATTTTTAATAACCCTTGTTTGGATTTAAGATATTTACTATCAAAATAGATAAAATACGATAATTTTATTAAAAAATTGACAAGTTCATTGCTCTATATGAATATTAATAGTAAAGTTAACATGTACATATATGTGTAATTTATTCACCACTGATAATGTATTTTGAATTTTTTTTTTTTATCAAGCCAAAGTGAATATAAATATTTTTTTTATAAATAAAGGGTGTGTCAGAATTGACACAATCACAAAATCTTAAATGAGTAAGCGATATTTCTTTATGTTAGTATAGTGTTCATTCTATTCAAGAAGAATTGAACTTTAAGGTCATGGATTCTTTAGAAGAGGTTAAAAAAAAGATGTCATTTGTTCGGGATAACTTTTTAACTGATCAGAATATTTGAAATTTTTTAAATAGTTTAACTATAGTACTTACGAAAAAATGACCTTGTATTAATTGATTTTTTAATTTTTGAGGACTCGAAACAAACCGTCAAATTTAAATTCAGTTCAGAATAAATTATAATTTGAAAAAACCAAAAAATACGGTTTGATAGCATACCAAACTAAACAGTTGAAAATAATTTAGAGTAAATTTATAAAATAAGAATAGAGTAATTTATAAAATATTCATTTTATTGAAAAAAGGGGTTGTTTGATATCAATTGTTGTAAATATTTTATTGGTAGATATTTATAAAAGTAAAGTTATTACACAAGTACTTGGAAAAGTACCCCACGCTTCTTTCATAATTAAATGAATCTATACTATTATTATTTTAAACTTATTTATAAATATTCTCTACTTTTAAGTTATGTTTGATGTTAAACCGTATTGATTATTATATTTTTAAACTATCATTTATTTAAAAATTTTTAAGTATAATCGATAATCAGCACCTTTATAATATTGAACTTAATGAAAAGAAGAACAATCTTGACTGTAATAATTAAAAGCCGTATTTTTAATCTGTAAAATTGGTCAATTTTTTCTACCCCGATGATCCTAATCAAAATACTAAAATAATGTTTTTAAATTAATGTATTGTCATTGGTCCTTAATACGTTTGTAAATTTTCTAATTAATCGCATTATCTTGAAGTTGAAATCTATAAAATGAATAGTTTTTGATTATTTAAGACCAAAACCATCAAATACGAATTGTTCACATACTTAAGTATTATGAAACATGTGTTTGAAAAACATGAAATGGAAAATCAGATTCGAAAGAATAATTTTGAATGATTTGGTCCTCTAACTTTTGTAGTTACCTCTTAAGTTATCAATTAAAACCACATTAAAAGAAAGGTAAAAAAAAAGTAACCAAGGGATGGAAAATTTCATGATACTGAAGTTAGCAGACGTCTAAAAATTTTTGATTTTTTTTGTTAATTAAATTACAACTAAAAAAATTTTTATGATAAATTGCACTTATAGTTTTTCAAGTTTTTTACATGAGACAATTTTTTTTTAATTGTTTTATTGAAATTTTTTCAATAAAAAATTTCTAAAAATTTTGAAATGTCGGCTAACTTCATTTTTATAAAATTTAAAGTATTAATGTAAACTAATTTCTTTAAAATTCTGTAATAAATGTTACGAGGAAATCATTAGAATTAATTTTATTACAGTTTTGATAAGTTTTGATTTCATTAAATTTTATGCTGTTTATTATTATCTTGTAAAAATAATATAATTAAAGGAACATTAGTTAAACAACAGACGATTTAATATAATTTTATCATTAGCTGTCTGATAGAGGGGACATGACCGCAATAAAGAGGTCATATACCTCACTGAATTATAAATTATAAGTAGAAGTTAATGACTCGAAAAAATTAAATTGTATTAATTAATAATGACTTTATCTTCAAGAGTCGTTAAAGTAATGTGAATTGTTCTATTACAATTTTAAGGATATGTGATAAAGATAAAAGTATAGATGGACAATTAACATTAACAGATTCATTATAAGTTATTATTATTATTATTATTATTATTATTATTATTAAATATATTTAAATTAAGAAAAGCGATGAGCGACGTATAGTAATGTAGTGTGCGTTTTACGTTATTATTATACTTATTATTATTACTAATTTGTGTTGTAAATTCAAAGTGAATAAAATGACAAAGGTCACGCGATTCGTAATTCCACAATGAAAGAAAATTCGCTTTAGCGAAAAAAAAAATTGCTCGAGTTGTCATGCAGAAAATATATTTGCTATAACTTTAAATCAATACATTACGCCGTGTTACCACGCATCCTATCCACTATTCTTGCTCATGGCAGTATCAACATCACCCCTACAATATCTATAGAATAGACTCTAAGAAAATTAGATGGTTGCTATACTAATTAATAAAATTTTTATGTTTGCTTTATTTTTAATCCCAATTTAAGACAAATTTTTATTTTAAAATACGCGTGAGTAATCTTTTGCAGTAAACTGGAAACAGTTAAGCTATACATATTTGTAATTTATAGTTTAGAAAAAAATGATAAAACAGTTTTAGTTTGATTGATTTGTGTTTCTTAAATCGGTAAATAAGATTAAACAGAAAGCAAAAGCCGTTTTTCAAGCTAACAAACTCAAAATAACTCTCAATCAAGCAATTGTTGAGCAGGTTACGGATCAAAAGTCAAGTCGACATGGAATTATATGTTATATCTCTTATGATAGCGGCCAAGTGTTTTTATTTATGTGCTTCTCTTCGTACATGTGCATACAATCATACTAATA